ATCTGCTTAAAGGATGGCTTATCCCAGGACTGCCTGAACTGCTTCAGCTCATCGGCCACCGCGCCACCCAAGCGGATGGTCTGCATGGCACCTGACAGGAAAGGGCCCGGAAAAAAAAAAAAAAAAACACGGTTCAGTACGGCTTGGGGTTATGGATTGCTCACAGCCACAGGTACCCCCCCCCCCCCTGAATCCTAAACCCCAAACACTCCACCTTAAACCGAAACCCATTCAACCCTTCCTGAACCCCTGAAGTACACTTCGGCGTTCAGGGCGGCTGCTTTCCCAGGGAATTGAGGGTCCCGGCACTACGACTCAAGTCCTTCTTCGTAGCTGGGTATGGTCTCTGACAGCAACGAAGGGACTGCTTGAAGCCTGACAGCAGCAGTAGCTGTGGCCATAGTACTAAAAACAACAGCTACAACCAGAAATTTTAGTTACTGATAGTTGAACATCAGAAGCAAAGTAGCAAATAATCATGAATAAAATCAAGTTACGCCCAATAACTATAGTAGACAAAGAACAATCCAACCTGAAAACCGAACCCGCCCTCGCACCTTCCAAGTTCGAGGCCTGTGACAGCAGGGATCGCCATTTCCTCAGCCAAGCCCCGCGGTGCATGACCCTAAACTCTAAACCAAACCCTAAACCCTAAACCCCTCAGAAGAGCCCTCAAGTGCACAGGTTGCACAGGGACAGAGTCTGAGCCCTTTTGGGCTGAAGGGTGCTTAGCAGGGATCCTGATCTTAAGAAATCCGCCCAAGGAGCTGGTACTCCTGCTCGGACTCAGCAGAGAAGCACATGGAGATGTCCTTCTCATGGTCATCCTGGGTATCCAGTCCAGATCCAGTGTTACGAAGACTGGCCGACTGGCAAAAAGACATCAAAAAGCTTCTGGCCATGCTCTCGTGATATACACGCACAGAGCGTGCTGATGATAAGTTGGCCTATCGGGAGTTCGCCCAAACTTCCACGCTGAGACGTGCTATCTGGGCTGGTAGCAGGAGATGGGATTCACATCATGAAGCTGGGTTGCCGTGGGCTGCAGTTCAGGCACTTCAAACAAGTTGCCATGACAAGAGCCCATATCAGTTGCGCTTTGTGACTGTAACTTGCTTCTACCTTCCCCTACGTAGCCGTAGCGTTTGAAACATACTCTAACACCCAATACCCTGCCTCATACTCTCCCCGGTACCCAAACACCCCAACCCTAAACCCCAAACCACAATACCTCAATACCTAATACCACACATTTCTCTCTCTCTCTCTCTCTCTCTCTCTCTGTCTCTTTCACCCCAGCAGCGCTGTTGACGCAATCCAATCGGAAAGCCTCGGCATCGAGCTCTGATCAAAACACCAGGATCAGACTCGCACAGGGCTTTGGGGTTGAACGTTTGCAACTATCATTGCTTCTACTATGACTGTTGTTGGCGTGGCTTCCCTAACTCATTGCATTTCCGGCATTTGCCACTAGTACTACTGTGTTTTTCCTGAGCGGCATCTGAATTCAACTCAAGGGCACGCTTCAGAAGATCAGTCGAGACACAGGCTGCAGAAAAAACAGCATAGCAGCTCAGAATATGAGCGGACATTGATGGGGACTCTTGCGAAATAATTCCTGTCATACTGCCAGGATCGCCGTGCAGAATGCGAGCCTCTCGGTTCTGCCAGATTCTGCCACTTCTGATACTGATAAGCTCATACCCTAAACCCTACACCCTAAACTCTGAACCCTAAACTCTGAACCCTAAACCCCAAACCCCAAACCCCAAACCCTAAATCCTTCAGAAGAGCCCTCAAGCGCGCAGGTTGCCAGAAGGATCTAGGCTTGGATGTCTGATGCAAAAACCCTAAACCCTAAACCCTTAACCCTAAACCCTAAACCCTCGACATGCCGTCCAAGACACGAACTCGCGCGCGGCGCTGGGCAGCGTCGTGACCTGCAGACCGCTACCCTAAACCCTAAACCCTAAACCCTAAACCCTAAACTCTAAACTCTAAACCCTAAGCCCTGCTCTGCAGTAAGATCTCTCGGGGACCTACGAACCAACAGCAAGTGAATTCACGATCCTGTCACCGGCACCCTCCCAGTTGTTAAGAAAGGGGCCTGAATAGTTAGAATAGGGTTTTGGGGGGGGGGGGGGGGGGGTACTAAGTACCATTACACAGGGACCAGATATTCCGACCCCTATGGCAAGAAAGCCAAAATGTACCCCAAACCCTAAACCCTAAACCCTAAACCCTAAAGCCTAAACCCTAAACCCTAAACCCTAAACCCTAAACCCTAAATCCTAAACCCTAAACCCTAAACCCTAAACCCTCAACCCTAAACCCTAAACCCTAAACCCTAAACCCTAACCCTAAACCCCAAAAACCGGGCATCGGCCTTGGCACCAGAAATCTTGATACCGTCCAAGAGCACGAGGCGCTTGTTCTCCTTGATGCTGAAGTAGCACAGAGAGCCATCCTCGGAGTCGGTGCCGAGTTTTTTGGTGGGGTTTAGGGCTATTTAGGGTTTAGGGTTTAGGGTTTAGGGTTTAGGGCTTAGGGCTTAGGGCTTAGGGTTTAGGGTTTAGGGTTTAGGGTTTAGGGTTTGGGGTTTAGGGTTTAGGGTTTAGGGTTAGGGTTGAGGGTTGAGGGCCTCCAACACCCCCCCCCCCTAAAGAACCCTACTCTCCCCCCCTTAAGTACCCTAAACCCAGTGAGCTGTGCGGCTCAAGCGGCGCAAGCGACCCACATGTCTCGCTTGAGCCAATGCGTGGCATCCTCGGCCTTGCCATCCTGGACGTGAGGGTCTAGGAGAGTCTGGGGTTTAGGGTTTAGGGTTTAGGGTTTGGGGTTTAGGGTTTTTCGGGTTCGGGGCATTAGGGTTTAGGATTTTGGGTTTTGAAACCCGAAACCCCCACACGCGAAGCCACGGCCGGCCGGAAAACCCGCAAACCCTCCCCCCGCGCGCGTTGTTGAGCTTCCACAAAGTGCCCTTGTAGAGGGGCGCCTGAGGCCAGAGTTGAGGGTTTCGGGCTTAGGCTGTAGAGATTTGGCCTTGGAGCTTAGGGTGGAGGGCTCAGTGAGTTTTGTCGCGCGTGGGCGGCTTAGGATTTGGGGTTTTGGGTGGAGAGTGTAGGATTTAGGGTTAGGGGTTTAGGGTTGGGAGCTTTGGTGCTTGAAGGAGTTGCGGGTTTGCTATCACTGGCAGCTTGTTGGTTGACTTCATGGTTCCGGGTTGCACAATACTGAACCCGAAACCCTAACCCTAGGTTGAGGGTTCAGTGTCAGCATAACTTCCCAGCTTGGACGGCTTGTATGTTTGGCTTAGGGTTTCGGGCTTAGGGTTGAGGGCTTGCGTTCAGAGTGTAGAGGGTGTGGGGTGGGAGACCGCCAACTCTTGCTCGGAGCCTGCTCTACTCAGACACCTTCAACCTCCGCCACCGACACCCAGGACAGTTCGAGAAAAGCCGCCCTCGACCTGTCGAAAAGTCAGACTGAACCCTGCTGAAGTCTCCTCTGATAATGTCAAAAGTCCTTGAAGTGTACATAAGGTCATTTCAGTGCACTCAGTGCAGTATATCTATATACATACCATTTAGGCACAATACGAATGTTACAACACGAAAAGATTAAGCCTGAAATGATGATTTTAAGGTGATGGGGTTTATATTCCTTGTATCCCCAAATGGACACCCAATACATACACTCACCAATACTTAAAAAAGGAACCTTATAAACACTCATCAGAAACAGAAATAAGCCCTGTTTCATGTACAAAAATGCAAGAGCTTGTTGTGCTGATGCGGCCTTGCTAGAGGTGTCCTCGAAGCGCTGGCGAGCCTGTCGCACCACCTTCCTGAGAGCAAGCTGCTTCAGGTGGCTTCAACAACAGCTTTGAGGACAAAAACGATAGGAACAACAATTACAACTACAAATCGACATGACGACATGAACACAACAATAACAGAACCATAACAATAAACATAACAAATAACATGCAGCAAATATACCTTCTGATTTTGAGGATGAAGATCCAACCGAATTGCAAGGCATTCTGGTCGGATTGAGATAGAGCGGGTCTTTGGGGATAGGGATTGCTTCGACTGTACAAGTACTCCAACCCGCTATCTATGTGGAGCGTGGTTTATACATGGCTTTCGGAGCCTTATACTTGCACCGCTTGTGGTAGAAACAAGTGGTATGTGGCATGACACTCCCCGCGAGCAACTAATAAGGAGACCACGCTCTTCGCACAAAAGCCCGTACAAACTCGTATCAATCCGGTGTGAGACCCGAAGGCAGATAAACTCGCGCCAAGGTGCTCACCGCCTGCAAGCGTGAAACACAAGATTTATTCTTGTTGTAGCCTGATTATAGGAACCGCCACAGGGGATGTCCCTACATTTGGAAAACCTGATAGGAGACTTGGGCGCCAGATTGAAGGGCGGCTGCGGTGGGGCAACGACTGCGCATCTGCTGAGAATTGGGCCTATGAACCCTAAACTCTCAACTCCAACGAAACCCTAAACCCTGTGACAGTCCCTCCTGCAACAGAAAGCCAGGGAAGATGCGTGCTTCATTTTTGGAGGGGAGGTCCTGTTGGTAAGGGATCCTACGAGGGTTTTGGGATTTTATGGATCCAATTGCTCCCAATTCCGAAATCGCCCCAACCCTAAACCCTATAAACCCTATAAACCCTATAAACCCTATAAACCCTATAAACCCCATAAACCCTATAAACCCCATAAACCCCTAAACCCTAAACCACCCACCTTCCAGCTCTGGCGACTCAGACTTGCCGCTCTCCACGACATACGGGTCAGAGAGGCACTGGGCCAAGGACTTCCTGCGGCTGCTTACAAGAATCCCCACGGGCCTCTTCATAAAAAAAATGGAAATAATAATTATTATTATTATTATCATAATAATAATAATTGTTATAAGAATAATACTAATAATAATATAATGATAATAAGAATAAACGGAACAGAGTCATCAGAATGACAGGGTTTAGGGCTAAACGGAAGGCTTGGAGGGTCTAAGGGTTGAAGGTCCAGGGATGTGAGGGCTGCAGGGTTTGAGGCTTCTAGGCTTCGGGGTTTAGGGTTCTACATGGTTCTAATTGAAGGTGAGATGATGGTCTCTGCTGGAGCACCCAGCTTTGCTTCACCCCGCATGTGAGCATCGCGCCATGAAGCTCTTCCAGGAAGCGCTGCGAGACAAGCAGCTCTTCCCCATTTCGGGGAATACTCTTCATTACTCTTCTACAAGGGGCTCTAATGCAAAAAACCATCTACGCAAAAAACGCCCACCACCCAAGGCATCCTAAAGCCTGTACTAAGCGTCTCGGAAGGCCCCTAAACCTCGAACCCTAACCCTAAACCCTAAACCCTAAACCCTAGCCCTAAACCCTAAACCCGAACCCTGCTGGGTCCTCTTGGTGAAGTCGCAGACCAGGAGGGACTCGACCTCACCCAGCAAACATATCTGCCCGACAACGCGTACAATTGATGTTGGTACTAAATATTGGTGACTAGTATTGGGCATTAGTTAACAACTATTCATCCTGATATGAATATCAATATTAATATTAATATTAATATTAATATTAATATTAATATCAATATCAATATTAATATTAATATTGATATTGATATTAATATATATATATATATATATATATATGTGTGTGTATTTTAATTTCTGTATTTATATGCTAACATGAATATGAATACTAATACTGATATCCACTCCGACCCGCACCCTCCGAGTCCCCAGCTATGAGCTTGTGGAAGTCGCGGTCAAAGCGCTCGATGCTCTTGGGAACTGGCGCGCGCCTGGCTGCCCCATGAAACTTGAGGTTTGGGGTAAGTGTCGTTACGGTCTACTGTTGGAGTTTAGGGTGAATCATGAAACTTGAGGTTTGGGGAAAGTGTCGTTAAGGTCTATTGTTGGTGTTTAGGGTGAAAATGGATGAAACTAGAGGCTTGGGGTGAGTGCAGAGAAGGTCGACGGTTGGAGTTGAGGGTTCAAATGTGGGTTTCGGGTTCGGGGTTTCAACCAGGGGCTGAAGTATTCCAGGGCATGCTGGAATCGATTGCCCTTAGCATCACATCCATGTTGCGAAGCACTGCGACAGCAGTATCTTTAAAACCAGATTCGAAAGGCTTGATTTGCAACAGACTGAACCAGGTCTGGCACGTGATGTGGCCGAGCCAGTCCATGAAGAGGAAACCTCGCAGGCAGGAAAGGAGTCGACCCTAGCACGAAATCCTTTTGTCGGGACCTACGGGTTGTGTAGGATTATGTAGGATTGCAACATAGGTTTATATAAGGCCAGCATGGGGTTATGCAGGGCAGCATACGATTCTAGGATTAAGGGCAATGTGCTTTCCGCATAGAAGGCGAGGTTGCATCCAGGCGATTGTCGCGGCTACTTGACATACGCATAAAAGGGTAAAAGGCGAATACAGCTCCGCGTACTTTGCAGCTGCACACTTGAGTTCAGTAAGGCATCATACTCAGTCACACCAACATCGTGTAGACTGCACTGGAGGTCCATGAAGCCCTTTGAAGGCCGCACCTGCTTCTCTGTGCGAGTGTCCGTTGCGGAGGAAATTGCCGTACATGGGCTTCAAAATCGCATCCAGCCTCGCAGGCTCAAGATTCCCCTGCCAGTCTTCCAGCCAACCCTTTTTTCCAGCAGCTCAGAAGCAGCTAAGAAGTAGCCGTTGTATGCAGTCATGATGTGTGATGCATCTGTTGCAGCTGCCCCGTGCCAGCTCGGTGCTGCAGCTACTAAGAACTGGGGGCAAAAGGGCCCGAGGGATACTGCCAGGACACGTCACAAGCTCGCAAAGCGTGATGCCAATGCTCCAGACCTTCACCAGGCCGCATCAAGGCCCAGGCACTCTGATGTTGGCATGAGGTCCCACCAAGGCTTGCAACGCACCAATGAGGGGCATGTCTCAAAATAGGGGTCCTCTTACTATACCCCAAAATACGATGGTCCTGTAGAAACCCCAAATAAAGGGCACACCCCTAGTTTTGGCTCCGGAGCGTAGTAGACACTGCAGAGTAAGGCTGCGACATCCAGGTGTGGCTTCGCAATGATCTTGGACTCGGCCTCATCGATCAAGAACCTGCGCAGGCAGAGGCTTTCGAGCTTAGGGTTTAGGGTTTAGGGTTTAGGGTTTAGGGTTTAAGGTTTAGGGTTTAGGGTTCAGGGTTCAGGGTTCAGGGTTTAGGGTTTAGGGTTTAGGGTTTAGGGTCCCTGTGAGACTTCGACTACCCCCGTAAGGACTCTCATAGATCCTACGAAGAACTTCATATGGAATACACACCGCACACATTCACCATAGTCAGAAGAAGCAGAAAATAACACTTCTAGCAATGGCAATGATAACAGTCAAGTACCAGCAAAAAGCAATACCGATAAGAATCAGAATAGCAATGAAAGTTGTCATAACGTCAGTTACCCGAGAAGAAGACTGAAAATCAAATTGAGAGCAGGCAGACAATAAACCTTGGAGCGACCAGTATGTGCAATGCTCGCTGTTTGTAGTCATGAGTTCAATCATAACGAGTAACACTAATGATGTGAATAGTAGTTCTGAATCATTGATAATCATTTAAAGAATACCTGGTAGAAAACAACAGCTAGTAGTACTGACAAAAAATGATTTCCAACGGTTCAGAATTCATCTTCACGATTAGAAACAATTAAGATTCAAGAGCTGGGAATTGAGGATCAAGAATGAAAGTTTTTGAAATGAATAGCAGCAACAATAGATTAGACTTGCAAGTAATAACAGAAATTTTCTCATAGCAGCTGATAATTAACCGTTTTCTAACAAGCAAAAATGGACAACAACAAAAACAGTAAATCTCAATCCAAAAAGTAACAACAACTAAAAAAAGAACAAGCACATCAAAGTTCGTAACAGCAAGAAATACTCTTATTCGTCAGACTAACAAGGTTGTGTGGATGACAGCCCCGCTGGCCAAGCCTAGCCCACTCCGGCGCGCAGTAGCACGGGGAGAAGGAGATGGACGAGTCGTTGATGGAGACTTCGCCTTGGCTGGGAGGTTTCGCGAGTCTACGGCCTGTAACCATGGAAGAAAACTCCAGGGGGCTTAGGGTTCTTGGGGGTCTTCAGGGTTCAGGGTTTAGGGTTTAGGATTTAGGGTTTAGGGTTTAGGGTTTAGGGGAGCTCTTGGGCTTTTAGGGTTTGGGAGTCAAGCCCCTAGATGGCACAAAAACCGTGGCTCGAGGCATGCACAACGGGCTGCATGCGCATGTCAAGCTGATGGGGCACTTTGAGTGCCTTACTAATTCGAATAGGGTTTTGGGGGGCTATGATGATAGTCCTAGTATGATTATGTAGGGACCATAGGGGAATTCTACTAGCAAACATTCCGTCCCCTATATTATGCCCTAAGCCTTGCGGGTTTGGACGCGTCCAGAACAGCCGCGGCGCTGTCAATGGGAACGCAACCATCCACGTCGATTAGCTTCAGCCGCCCGTTGAACCTGGAGGTTGAAGGTGGGTTTAGGGTTTAGGGTTTAGGGTTTAGGGTTTAGGGCTTAGGGCTTAGGGCTTAGGGCTTAGGGTTGCGGGTTTAGGGTTTAGGGATTAGGTTTGGGGCTTGGGGTGTCGGGTTTGGGGTGTAGAGTCCTCTCAGGGGACAAACCAGGAATGAGAAGGGCACCCCTTGTCTTGCTGAACTTGGTCTTCCTGAAACCACGGAAGGCATGATAGGGGGGAGGAGCCTTCGAGATGCCTAGCATCATGGGGGTTTAGGGGCTTCTGAGGTTTGAGGATGAGGACTTAGGGTAGTTTAGGGTTTCGGGCTTAGGGTTTAGGGGTTGGGGTTTGGGGGTTGGGTAGCCCCCCAAACCCGGAAACCCTAACCGGCAACATCCTTGAAGGGCTTACAGTAGGCTGTTGCGACTTCCGCATTTCCGGGCTCGATTGGGAGCGCCTCTCATGTGGAATCTCAGCCAAGGCGCATCATCAAGTTCTCGGGCTTCAGGTCCTGAGTTGATAGGCTTAGGGGCTTAGTTAAGGGCATCAGCGTGAGACGGGTTTAAGGCTGAGGGCTCAGGGTTTTTGGAGGGTTTAGGGCGTGTAAACCCTAAACCCTAAACCCTCAACCCTAAACCCCACCCCCCGAAAAATACTCGCCACGGAGCCAGATGAACGAGGCCCTTTGCATGGAGACCGGCCACCACGAGGAGGATAGCCCTTGCGCAGGCCTGGGGGCACTGAACGTTTCTCTGAATGGTCCATGGAAGTAACTTCGGGGCATGGGGCATTTTGGGGAGTCTATGTTACAGGTCATATATGTATATCTATCTATCTATCTATGCAGATATATGCATACATATATATATACATATATGTATATATACATATCTAGGATGGCCCTTAAACCCCTCTGAAAAATATTCCTGAATATGACCATTTAAAATGTCCCAAGGGCCTACGTAGATATTATGTTGTGCATACATGCAACCAGCTTCAACCACGATTTGACCTACACCTAGTCCTGGGATGTTTGTGATTTGGAGGGCGACTCGCGGACGTGTTCATCCGGGGGACTCGCAGTTTACATGCACAGATGCTTCCACGCTACTCAACAGTAAACCCTGCGAATAAAAACCCAATCCCTGAACCCGAAGCCCTATACCGCAACTGCAGGGTACACTCGGCTGGGCGCTGCCCGTCCCCAAAACTTGCTGATTTAACAACCTAATCCTAGCTGCAAGGGTTAGGGTTCGGATCCCCCAACCTTCATAGTAGCAGGCTTGAACAGAAATTTTCATTGTCTTTGAGGGGGGGGGAACTATCAGTACCATTGATTTCAGATTCCTGTGTTGACATTCAGAGGGAGCAACAACCGCTGGTCAGGGCCCCGCAGCCCCGAAAAGTTGCAACGGAGGGAAGAGTGCCTTGATAGACTCACGCGACAGCGGCTTGTTCTTCTCCCTCTTCAGCGCGAAGTAGTCCTGCTCTTTCTTCCGTGACCCCAAAAAGCCCCCCAAGTCCTACCCTACACTCCTAAGGAGGTCGAGGGTCCCCTTCACTCGTCGTCCTTTCTTTTTAGTCCGCTCTGACCAGCCAGAGCCAATGGGCACCAGATGGCTTCCGAAAACAATCGGCGAAGTTTTCAAAGATAGGCGCATGGCAGCAGACGGCTGTCTATGCAGAACACCTTCCACAAGTAGTACAACGAAGGCGAAGTCCCCGAAACCCAAGACCATCCCAAGAAACTCCTACCCCCTAAACCAAAGTGCTCAAGTCCGTAAGTCCCAAAGTCCCTAAGTCCCTAAGTCCCTAAGTCCCTAAGTCCCTAAGTTTGTAAGTCCCTACGTCCCGAAGTCCCCAGCAGAGCTGCCTATGCAAACCCCAAACCCTCAACCCCAAACCCCGAACTCCAAGCCCCGCAACCACAAACCCTACCCCCTGAACCCTAAACCCCTAAACCCTAAACCCTAAACCCCTAAACCCCTAAACCCCTAAACACCAAACCCACAAACTTTAAACCCTAACCCTATACCCTAAGCAACGAAGGCGCAGCAAGTCCTTCGAGGCCTAGCCTCGTAGATCACCCAAAAACTGGAAGCATAATGGTATCAAGGGAGTTAAGACCAAATTGCGTCGCGAATTATGAATACCCAGAGGACTCTCGGTTTTGAAGTCGCCGTTGCAAAAGTCTTGTAGTCTCCCTAACGGGCAGCAGCTCGGGACAGTGAAGTGTCGTTCACGGCAGAAACCATGTCCCAGCTGTCTCAAGAAATCGATTGAACTGGATTCTCCCGGTTGCTTTGCCGGGCCACGAAAGCCCTCGCTTGCAGCGTTCAGCTCCAAGCGCTAGAAACTATGTGCATCTCTCAACCCGCCGGGGCTTCAGACCACTTCCGGAAGTTGAGCTCCGACACCCGCAGGACCCTCGGATTGAACAGGCGGCTTTGTTCAGAGACCGGGGACGGGACTTCTCGGCCCGAATGTGGGTGGCACCCCCTCTCTTTGACAGGATATGGGGCATCCATGGCAGTCTCACATTCGGAGCCGTCCAGTTTCTAGATCCTCCAGAAGTGCATCTCCAAGCCGTCGAAGGCAGTCACGAAAAACTTGAAGAATCTGGAAACCTCCGCACCTCGCAGACAGAGCGATGATCTACCGTGAATCCTCCTACCACACTTCTCCATATCTTTCTTGGGGGTGTCACTTGAAAACCTGAGCTCTGAAACCTCACCGAGGCTCTTGGCACTGCCGAAGGTCGTGCTGGCACCAGGTGGGGCTCCAAACTTCCGGACCTGTGACTTCCTGGCTCAGGGAGCTAGGTATCTTCCAGCCCCTTCTGTGCAACCTAGGCATCCCTACAGTAGAAAAACCTAACTTCCTGGTTGCCTCGTAAAGGGGCCCAGTTACTTTAAAACTTGTACTTTGGGGTATTCCTTTGTAGGAAGATAAGGGGTCTTGTTGGCAACTACTTATTCTCGTGCGCTACTCCAGAACGCCTAGGAACGTGCCTCCGCAATTCAGGTGACGAACGGGCCTCTTCAGTAAAGAATGGGAAATTCTTGGGATAGTTTCTGGTATAACAGTATAGATATATAAGGATTACACAAGTTCCCTATACCGCAGGGCAGACCTCTCATCCGAAGGACATAGCCATTACCAGCTCCAGACCGCGATCGCGGATGACATCCTCCAGCTGCACCACCTGGAACAGGGATGGGGTCCCAGACACTTAGGGTTTAGGGTTTGGGGTTTAGGGTTTAGGGTTTAGGGTTTAGGCTTTAGGGTTTAGGGTTTAGGGTTTGGGGCTTCAAGTTTAGGGTTTAGAGAAAGAATAGATGCCACTTCGCGTGCTTCAGCAGGTGGGCCTTCTCGAAGCACTTGCCCTGCGAATAGGCCGACAACGCCGCCTCGTAGACCAGCCTGGGGGACAATTCTTACTGTTGGCTAGTAGGGAATGAGGGAATGAGGCACCCTATATCCCCCTATATACCCTTTAAGGGATTATGTAGAGTACCAGTAAGAATTCTTGGCTCATCAGCGACACCCCGAGTTGTCACACAGCATACAGGATGGCAACCCAGCCCTGGCAGCCCAAGCTCCTATGGAATGTTAAAAAATCGCGCTGGGATTGCTAGAGTTGCCAGGTTTAGAGCAGACCCGGCGAAACTCAGAGGCTCCGATCCGCTAATCCAAGCAGCATGTTCGGCCTGTGGCTCGCACCTTCCATTTCCTGCGTGTGCCGCGCCAAAAAGAACAGGGAGGAAATGATTGAAGCTCAAGGTGGTAGGAAGCATGTACTTGCAGTACGGGAAAGCAAGCGTGAATACGGCAAAAAGACACCACCGCCAGGAACTTGCCGTCATCATCATCATCATCATCATCATCATCATCATCATCATCATCATCATCCGTATGCCCATGGAACTTGCTAACACTGTATAGATGAACCCGAGACACGTAGAAAATGGCCCGAATCGAATCATAAACAATCATGAAATCATAAAATTATCTAACTTTGGGTTTCCTGTGGCTTGTATTGGTGTCATAACACCACCCACAGCGCATGCAACTGCATGGATAGTTCGTGCTATGTACACCTGAACAAGGGCACAGCAATTCCCAATTACACAGCCACCTCCTAAATCGACTGCCCAAACCCACACCAGTGCGGTCGATGCAAAAACCCATGCTGAACAGGCTAACGGTACCATGCATGTGAGCTCGTCACAACAGACGCTTGCTCTAGAATCCTTTGCAAAACCTAAACCCTTTAAGCTACTCAAAAGCCGCCTCCAAGAGCCGCAGCGCGGCCGCCCAGGCGCCGGCTGCCGCGGCCGCGGCGACGGCCGCGCCGAAGGTCAAGGCGTCCGGTGCCAGGCGTTGTCTTGGAGGGTTCAGGGCTTGGTTCAGGGTTTGGGGGGGGGGGGTTGAGCGTGCAGACTTTCGGAGGTTGGGGAGATTATCCTTCGGGCCGTTGGTTCACGAGAAGTAGGGTTTGAGAGTTGTTTCGTCGAGAGTTTGTAAGGAGCCCTTGAGGGACGACATAGGGAGCATGAATTCCCAGAGTCCCTATTGAGAAGCGACAAGTTCGGCGGGTCTTTGGAGGAACTTTGGGGCATAGGATGCCCGAAGACTCCTGGCCGAGGGTTGAGGGCTTTGAGCTCGAACGTGTAGCGTTGAGGCCTCAAGGTATGGCTCAGGTTTCGGGCTTCGGGTTAGGGGCTTAAGGGCTGTTAAGTTTACTCCACGGGGTGCCCCCGAGAACACTGCGAGGTTCATCTGAAGTCCTTTATTGGGGTAGCTGCTAAGGATTTTCACGGGGGCTACGAGGGAAAAATGCAGGGCGGTGAAAGATGAAGCTGAGTTCAAACTTAGACTTCCCCGACTTGCCCTTAAACCCTAAAACCCCGAACCCTGAACCCTAAACAAGAAAACCCGAAACCCTAAACCCTAAAAACCCTAAACCCTGAAACCCCCAAAACCACGCTGCCCGTGACACATCAGAGGCCCACGCCGTCGCATGGCCAAGAAGACTTCCAGCGTTTGTTCCCAGTGGCCGCCTCATCGCTTCGATGTCGGGTTTAGGGTTTAGGGTTTAGGGTTTAGGGTTTAGGGTTTAGGGTTTAGGGTTTAGGGTTTAGGGTTTAGGGTTTAGGGTTTAGGGTTTAGGGTTCGGGGGCTCAGCCCTGAGGGCTCAGGCGAACTCAACACCTAGCACGCTACCACGTCAGGATTCAAGAGCCACCTCGCTCGCAGGCCGCGGCTACGGCATTGAAGGCTATGAGACCCGGGCACCAGCCTTCACATGGGAGCTTAGGAGATTTGGGGTACCTTATTGTATTGGGGTCCTTACTTAGTATAAGGGGATCCTACTATTTGGGGGATTATGTTAGGGGTACCTTTAACAATCGAATCAATCTCTCTGTCTTCTTGTATATACAACCAACTGACATGTACAAACTCCGTTCCAGAAGGGTAGTCTTGGGGGCTGAGTTCCCCAAAGCAAAGCGTCCTTTCATGAAGTGGGTGGCTGTTCTGAACTGAGATCCCTTTTAGGGCGGTCTGCTGTCTATCATAAGAAAATAACAGGAGCCTGTGAGTGGACCCTAGCTTTGGGCAGGTGCCTAGGGCTTCCGAGGGCGCAGGACTGGAGGTTTTGGGCTCTGCCGCCAACCCGAAACCCTTCAGGGGGTTTAGGAGCTTCTATCACCATGACCCAGTAAAACCTTTCCTCGCAGAAGCCCAATGTCGGCTTCGGATTGGGGACCGAATTCTAAAAGAAAAGAGGAAAGGGTGTACAGTGGCGAACCGAGAGAACCGACCAAGTGCCCGACCTGAAACAGCACGCAGCGCTGGCCTATTTAGCTAAAAAGGGCGTCTTGGCCGTGGTTTAGGTTCTTATAATATACAAATTGATATCGGGAATTGCTTAGGCTTGTGTGGTAGAGGCCAATGCCAGGTCATGGGCGCAGGGCGAACCTCCATAAGTGCGCCCATCCAAGTTTCCCTAAAACCCGAAACCCTGATTCCTAAACCCTAAACTGCCCTAAACCCTAAACTCTAAACTCCGGAAGCCCGTAGCCCCATCACCGCCTGGCTCCCACAGCACCTCCAGCGCCAACGCCCAAGCCCCCACCTCGGAAAGCAGCAGATCTAGGCGCCCCGGCACGTCTCCCAAGAATAGAAAGGGCATCCTTTCTTCATATGTTCTGGTATTTTCGAGGCAACCTGACCCACATTTTTAAAAGAGGAGTAAGGGCACGTCCGGGAATTCCAAAGATTTGGCGGGTTTGAGATGTAAGATTCGGCGTTCTTGACATTTGGCGTGTTTGCTCTGTGATCCTAGCAGCATGGGCCACGCTGCTCATGCGACATACCCGAAGGCCGGGGCCTTTAATATGAGAATGGGTATTCTTGGTCGTGTATGAAGCAATCATATAGAGGGAGTACAAACGGCAAATACTGGCAAGAGCTGTAGTAC